TTTGGAGGTGCCCAGATGAGGCCCAGCTGTGAAGCAGTGCAAGCTGCCGTGGGGCCTTGGGCCTTCTTTTGGAAGTTCTGGGTCCCTCTGACCAAGCTGCAGTTTGTTAGGTAATTTTCAGATTGCAAAGGGCCAGGCCTTTCATATGCAAAAGCCTCTGTGGACAACTTGGGTGGGGCAGGGTCTCAGGGGATCAACAGGGCGGAGCAAGCAGCTATGGCTGCTCCTCAGTCCTACCCTAAGACGCCCCATGTCTCAGTGACCCGATAATCGCTGCAAGCACCTCTGAGAGAAAGCCGCCCTCGAGTTCGGATGATGCCAGACAGTCCAGTTTCTCCCCTTATGAGTCTGGGTCCCCAGAGTCTCGCCTGGAACTGGAGTTAAGAGCAGTCGGGTTGAGGCTCCTCCCTCCCGATTGAAAAAGACAACCGCGTCCTCAGTTGCCAGCCCTTTCCACGTGCGCCTCCATACCTCTGCACTTTACTTCCGCACCTCCTCTGAGTCTCAGTGTGCTTTTCTCTTTCCTTCTAGTTGTAGAATTTCCACTCAGCCAGCCTTCCTGTGGTTCTGGATGATGTACGTTGTGCCTTTTATTTGTAGTTTTGAAGTGGTTGTGCGAGGCAGCAATTTCAGGTGTTTACCTATGCTGCCATCTTGGTTTCTCTCTTCTGAAATTAAACTTTTCATACATACTTTTAACTACACGTGTCTACATAAGTAAAAACATAAACTAACTAATTTGTCATCTTTTTAATATACTCATTCAGAAAACTTACTTTATTATATAATGGACTTTCAGCTTTAAGGGACACTCCCCTGCCTGAATTAGTCTATTACTAGAGGCCCAATGCACGAAGTTTGTGCAAGAGTAGCCCTTCCTTTCCCCAGCTGCTGGTGCTGGCTTCCCTCTGGCACCCAGGACCCTGGCTTCCCTCTGGCTGCCAGCAGGCAAACAGGACCTGGGATTTGCTCCAGCCCCGGCTTTGTCTGGAAGGACGCCCGAAATGACATCCAGAAGGACATCGTGTCTAATTAGCATATTATCCTTTTATTATTATGGATATTGAAGTTTTATTGTATGCAGTTCTATTTTGACAAATGTATACGTTCATGTAACCAGCACCCTAATCAAAACTAGAACATTTGTCAGAGAAAAATAAGTATCACATGATCTCACTTATATGTGGAATCTAATGAAACAAATAAACATGATCAAAAATAGACCTAGAGACATAGAAGCGTGGACAGATGGTTAAACCTTAGAGGGAAGGCGGAGGTAAGGGTGAGTGGAAAGAGATCAACCAATGAACTTGTATGCATATATGCATAACCCCGTGGACACAGACAATGGGGCAGTGAAAGCCTGGGGTGGGGGGACTGGAGTAGGCTGGAAGAGGTTAATGGAAGAAAAAGGAGAACCTATGTAATACTTTTAACAATAAAGATTTTTTAAAAAACACAAAAAAACTAGAACATTTCCATCATCCCAGAAAGTTCCCCTATACTCCTTCCCAGTTAGTCTCCTCCACCCCTGATCCAAACAATGACTAATCTGATTTATATTAACACTAGAGGCCTGATGCACGAAATTCGTGCAAGGGGCTTGGCCCTCACAGCCCTGGCTTCGTTCAGAAGGAGGTCATTTGGCTGTCCAGTCTAATTAGCATTATATATATATATATATACACACTGAGTGGCCAGATTATTATGACCACCCCATCAGTACTTCGTTGGGCCACCTTTTGCCTTCAATACTGCGGTGATTCTTCTTGGCATTGACTCCACGAGATGTTGAAAAGTGATGGGAGGAATCTGACACCATGCCTGATGAATAGCACTGTCCAGTTCTGTGAGATTTGATGGTTGTGGAACCAGCTGCCTGATGACTCTTTGAACTTTGTCCCACAAATGCTCAATTGAATTGAGATCTGGTGATTGTGGGGGCCACCTAAACAAGGTAAAGTCTCCCTCGTGTTCTTGAAACCACTCCTGCACAATACGAGCACCATGGCATGGTGCATTGTCTTGTTG